ATCAGTACTAATTTTAAAATGAATAGGAGTTGTGGGCCGTAGCTGATAGATTAAGCGATGGTTCAGTTTGTATTTAAAATTGGAAGAAATGCCTTCACATATAGAAACAATAAGTCGGCAATTTGCAGGTGATCTGATTGGCAGTAAGTAGGTTGCCCATGTTGAGTGGTACGAACAAGTTCAGAGGATAATAGTTTGTTCACACTCCTCAACTCTAGTTGTGTTTAAACGCTGGAACCGCGCAGTTTGTATTTTTCGCTATTATATTCCGCGGACTGAGTACATTGTTCTCAAAATTTGTGGACGTGATTCTTCACATAGGATACTTAAATGTTCTTGAATGACTCAACGTATCACTTTATCTTTATGTTTTGTGTGAACGAAATAGACAGGCTGAAATGCTTTTAAGGGTCCATGCGAATTACATACCGTGAATTTGCTGGTATTAGTCGTTGCTTTGTCAAATGTTCCTTTCAACAATGATCCTCTCTACATATTTCATGGTTCCGTAAAAATAGAATTTCTATTGATGTGGCGGTGCCATCACATGGGGGCACATTTCTTCACAATTCTCAGGGAAATGATTTGATTGAATTTTACTGAGTAAAGTTCGGGGGAATATACATTATCGGCTCTTAGTCGTGCATGCGTTGTCGTTTACGGACACTAATAATTATTTATACTATTTCGAGTATTCAATGAGAAACAAAGGTGGCTGACTTCTCGATCACGTCGAATTGGAACGCGTGACATCTCAGGCTGTGTGATTTAACTGTTAGTTCTATTTTTGATAGAAGTTTCTGAACATTTGAGAATGTATTATTGGCACGTCGGTTCTTATTTGTATCCGCTTGCTTACTAGAGTCTTTTTCAATTTGCGAACGCGATCTTGTACAATTTTTTCAAGTTCTAGCTTTCGCAGGACAAATAAGTTGGCGTGAGTTAAGAAAGAGTTCGCGGCGTAAAATTGTTGATTACTGGGTAGATAGGTTGCATTCTGTTGTTCTTGAGGAAATTCTCTGCGGAAGCTCATTTTTCTGATGAGACGAATTTGCGATATTGTGCTCGATTGACAATAATTTATATTTAGATAGGATTATTACCTCTATCTCTTCTTTTTAAGGTTTGATATAATATGACATACATCCTTTAGTATGTTGGATTCGGTGTCCCTTTCTCCGCATCGGGTCGCGTACATTGTAATGCTATGTATTTAGCTTTATCCACAATCAATAGCAGTGTCTATCTGCCGTCACATGCAGGCGCTTTGTTTTCGTGCACTAAACTTTTAGTGTGACCATCAGGTCAAGCAAGTTTTTAACATTGTACTATTTCCTTTTCTTGCGAAAGGTTCGACGAACTTTACGTGTAAGAACGATTTATTTCATAAATACTTTGTATTGTCGTGTTGACTTGTTCTAGGTAACACAAAATTATATGGAATAAGGTGGCCCTTAGTATCGATGTTTAGCATTACAAACATTTGACGAACTTTGTGACCAAGATTTTCATATATTTCTTCTTTTAGCTTGCAACATCTGTTGACGAATGATATAATTTCAATATCTCTAAATGCTCGATCTTCTTCATGCTGATATGATGAAATCAGTAATATTCTTGTTTTACAGTGCTTGACGACGGTGCGAAATGCATCGTTGATGTTGCCGGCATTGTATTTTACACTTGCTGATTATTAAGCATTTGAATGTGTAAACTTCTGTTTCAAACTTCTGGGAATTATGTTCTTCCATTCAGTTATATCTACTACTCTGGAATGGAATATCAGGGGAGGTTTATGTTCGGCTTATTTCAGATCTTTGCTTGTGGAATGTACTACACAACAAACTTTTTTAAAGGACAAAATTTAAAGGCAAGAGCAACTTAAGCTAGTGAGTTGCCCTAGTTGTATTAATAATGATTAAGAATGACCGGGAATAGATAACTTTTGTTTTTAATTTTTATCGAGAAAACACTATTATTCGTGTTTATCTATTTGACATAACATTTTACTTTTAGCTACTTTGCGACAAGGAAAGTAATTGGCTACTCAAACGTCAGTTTTAAAACAATGGTGGTAGCAGAATGGTCCTTTCTTCTAAATCTCTTTAGACTGGAAGCTTTGCTTCTCGGTTTTGGCCACCCCTTCCCAGATGCATATTGCCACTGTAGGAAATTTTTTCACATTTTCTTCAATACCGCATTTTGATTAACTTTATTGTATCTTCTCTATTCTATATCTAACTTTTTGTTTCAAATTAACATAATTGTTATTTGTTTAAATATATCTCCCCCGGTCAATTATTTGTATATAAGGACGTTTCTTTATGCATTATTGCATCTGATGAAAATAGTGGCTTCAAATTATTTTCTAGTGGGAAAGTTTCCTCCAAGGCAGGAAACTCATAAGGATAAACCGTTTTCTATTCGGGTTTCGCTCAAAATTCTCATAAATAGTCGCAGTACAGAAGATATTACAACATTTTAAGAAAAAAGCTAACGCTATTTGACTTCAAAAAGACCTGAAAATTTGTCAATTAGGAAAGTTGGATAAAGGACCAGTTTTACTCTTTGTTAGTATTATTAAAGTCATATTTTCGGCTCTACCTATTAGAGAACAATATGATTGTAATGAAATTTGGAAAAATTTTTTATAAAGCGGTAATTCATGGACAATGGCATGAGTGTGGGCCCGTAGATATATAAGTGTATTTGGTGTACTCAACGAAACAACCTGCTTTTTAGAAATACAATATTAGGCTCACGTCAAATTAGGAAAGGTTCGAAAAAATTCCCTGGAATTTTTCAAACTTGGAATGAATGTTGTTTGCTATAACACTAAAATCGTTTTATTTTATCCAAAACTTATAGAAATTATTTTTGTAGGATATTTTGGTCACTTTAATTTTGTATAGACTCATAATTTTTCGATGGGATGGAATAGTTTCGGAGATATATGCCACAAATGTCGAAAATGCACCTAAACGGTCCATAACACATCCATGGTCAGCCTCACATTCAGCTTTTTTTATTATGTTATTGCACGAAGGACCAACATATCATTCAATGTAAGTTTGAAAACTTCCGTTTTCTTCCTCGATCGCCATTTTTTAGTCTAATTTTACTGGGCTAATTATATCCATTGCCTCATTTTTAATACGTAATATCACATTCTTTTCCTGCCAGCGCTGTAGTTGAAACTATTATGTTGTAGAAGCTGATGCTTCACTCTACTGTAAACACACGGATAGTTAGTATGTGTGCGTTCATGGATTCACAGCGACACAGACTCTAGAGCTTTTCGTATAACAATATATTTTTTAACAGAAGAACAACAACAAATATATACACTTAATAATCTACTTAGCACGCCTATGCTGATAGACCTACTATGCGCCCTGATCGGCGGGGAGCGATCCAAACCGATTGAAGATGGTTTTGATTGTGGGCATTCGCCACTCTACTTTTGAAGGCGCACACAAACGCTAGCTGCCGGTGACGGATGTCACGCTGGGACACGAAACGTCCCGTTTCGGCGCACAAGGCTTGATTTGCCTCGATCGCAGAGTCGATCCTTATCCGAATTGAGAATCGCGTGATGTGCACTCAAACGTCTTCCACCTGGGAGCACGCACATAACACCATAGGCTCCCCGTCGAACGCAGTCACCCAAGGACTAAGTCGCGCAGGCTTCGTCAACTAGTGACTCGAGGCCTCGCGAGCCTGGTGCGCATATGCACAGTCGTGGGGCGCCAAGTTTTGTGCACGCACGAAGGTTTCCACTTGTCTCCAAACCCACCCACTGGCTCTGTACATCTGGTATATGGGCAGGCCCACGTGACGCTACTACGCTAGCGCCACGGCTCGCTCGGCTTGTTTTAACAGTGAACAAGTTTCTATAGGCCGGATACTCCCAAAGCCTTGTGTCTCCCGTTTCCGCGTTCTTCCCTTTACGGAAAAACCTTCCTTCCTGTGGCTAGGCTAATCCTCTACCAAGCATCCCCAAATAGATGCCATGAGGCACGCTGGCTAATACGTTACAGTATAAAGCTTTGCTGTGATTTATATTTTTTCTTTTAGAGGTGGAACGAACTTTTGCTAAATGAACCAGGTACTCGAGTTCCGTGCGGTAGTAGTAGCCAAGCCCGCTCACTCCCATTACGACTACCACAACTCCCACGAGGGACAACTCCATTTCTAACCACAAGCGACGCCGGGGGGTGAAACACACGGCGTCGAAGTCCACCTCCTGCACGAGACGGCCCGTCACGTGGGCAGGATGTGAACAGGTCAGACGCGTGTTCTCCCCGAGGTTCTTCACTCGGGTGGTTGTGGTGGCGAGCCATTGCTGGAGGAGGGATGCCTGGCAGTTTCCGCAGTCTATTGCGTTTCCGCCAAGATCCACTTGTTTCAGAGCAGCTAGAGATTGCAACATTGCTTCTGAGAAAAACGAGATGTTATTATGTGATATATTCACGTCCGTCACCCAGGGTCTGCGTTTATAAGCTGAATAAATTCACGGATGCGATGCACTGCCTGGCAAAGATTTATTTTCAGATTGAAACGAGAGGTGCCTTCTACATGATTTACGTATGAGAAATATATTTTTATCTGTCCAATGCACTATATTATTGTAGAAAATATCTAAGCTATGAACCTTTTCAATCTGATAGCCTAAGTTGATTAAGGTTGTAATTTGGTTGTGTGAAAAGTTCATGCTGCTAAATTGAGAACATGGAAGTTCCGGGCATTTTGTTAACCTGCATGATTCTATATCAACTTGCTGCTGAGGATATCCTATAAATACGTGAGGGTTTAAACTGCGAAGAGGATTTCCAGTTAAAAATATCAGAGCTAGTTTTGGCAGCCCTACAAATGCATTCATTGTCAAAAATGTCAAAAAAATTATTACACAAACTGAGAAGATATAAATGTGGAAAGTCTGATTCAGCCGCATTGAAAGTCTTCATTCTACAGCTGTCGAGGAACAGTGATCTAAGTTAATACAATCTTGGAAATTTTCCTTGCCAATGCCTAATATATGTATGAGAGAGATTCAGTGTATTCAACCCTGTTACATCTCGCAAGAAGTGTGGGTTGAAAATGAAATCTTGAACAATAGATTCAAACACGAAAGACTTCACCTTTTTTAGTATTTTTAAGGCTGAGGGAATTTCTCTGAACTTGTTATGAGTAATATTTAATACAAGTATGCTCTCCGTGCCATTCATATCATCTGAAAAAAAAAATCACGCAGACATAAGCATATTAATTTTGGAAACGTAATTATGAGACAAAATAAACTGGATTCTTTCAATGCTAAATTATAAAAAAGGGAAGTTTTAACGATGATGCGTATGTGATAGCTGCAGAGAAATGAAATTATTTTCGTTGTTGCGACTTTTTTACTGGAAGTATTGTAAAATCCAATGCCTGACAGCAGTGACATCATTTTTCAGTTGTTAGGCTGTATAATTTCTAAGGCACCGACTTAGCCGTAGTGGCATAAGAAAGGAATATTACAGATACTTTTCACGGTTACCTGGTGTAAGTTCTGTCAAGGAGCTGTTGTGAATACTCAACGTCAGCAAGTTTGCTAGATGGTCCAAATGCGGAAGAGGACCGGCATTGTCTGTTCCGAAGGAACCGTTGAGTTCAAGACGTTCCACTGAGCTGCCTGAGAGGCCAGGCAAGGTCAACGGGTAGTGATCGTCCACGGTAGCTGTCGCTTTCAAGGTAATCAGCCACCGGAGATCAGCGCGGAACAACGGCGAGGAGAAGTTCCAAAACTGGGGCTCGTCCGATGTGAAAGAGAAGGGAGGCAGAGATAACACATCGGCCCGCACTTTAATTTCGAAAGTCCAGTTCCACTGCCTGTAAACGAAAAGGACGTTTATACTGTCCCAACGAAAATATTTGTATCTGTCTATTTCAACAATAATATAAAATGTTCAGTATTTATGATTTATTAACTTCCGTCCGTTACAGCAAGACATATCATAATTCATTTCGTTTATTATTCAAATTTGACTACATTTTTATTTCACCAGCGAAAAAAACACTAATAGAATACAATACTAATACTAATACAATTTTTGCATATTGAAAATGCAGATTTGTGTATTTCTCTTATGCAATAAAACATAGTCATTAACAAAGCACGTGTTTGGTTTGTAGAAAAAAAATAATTAAATACAATATTTCATGTAATCATTCTCGTTTTAGTATTGATACAGTTGTAATGGATAAAAGATCGATAGAAACAATACAGACCCAAATGTACATGCATTTGTTTCTTAACTATAATAAATTATTCTTTCTTCGTGTACCATTTCATTCGGAAAAACTGAATGATACACTCTCGTTTCTAGTAGTATCTAACATTTAGTGTTTACAAAATTGTGTTGAACTTTGAATGAAGCAAGCGACGAAGCATTTTTCTGATTATTAATGGATTTGCTTTGATTGTAAATCAATTTAATGTTTCGTAAGACCTAAGAATGCGTTCGTGCGCTTAACATCACTTGCAGCTTCTCTGAGGAAAATTAATCGCGCCGGAAGTGGTTCTCATCTCAGCTGTGGGTTGAGTCAGCGCTTCGCCGCGGCCCGGTCGCTGGGCGGTACTTCCCGTGCTCTACTCGACCGTTAATCAGGAATATTGCTTATTTATTGAACTAAAAACCTAACATTGTAATTAAAATATGGACGCAAACACATTAAGTATGTATTTGTCTAAAACCTGTATCTCGTGATCTAAATGCTCTGTTTTCTAACCTATGATAAAAAAAAGAAAGAAAGAAAGAAAGAAAGAAAGAAAGAAGAAAAGAAAGAAACTATCAGCGCTGTAGAGACCGCATCAAAGTTTGTATTAATAGCATCCACCTTTTGTGTGAATTAGAAATATACTTCACTCATTTATTTTAAAATAAACATCGAGATTTACTTTCTACTATTGTAAGGTCAATCCATTGTATACGAATAGAAGTATTTTTTAGATCACAAGCTATGCTTTCTTACCCTTTACTTTGGCAACGTTCCGTCACGACTGCCACGTAGAATGAAGATAATTGGAATTCCATGTGGAATTCAGTTGGGTCATGCAGGGAAGTTCCTTTCCAGTAGCTCATTTTGGCGCACCGTGTGAATTCACCAGACGACGTCTTGCTTGCACTATTTAGCTTCACATACATGTTAGTTTCAATTTTCCAAACGGTATTTTTCGTAGATACACGAAATCCTGAGCACTCAAAACGGTGTCAGAGAAAATTATACACGCAGTTGAAATGCAACTTACGTAGAACAACCAGAGAAGTTTCGAAACATGTCAGCTCTGGTGAATCATTGGTTAAGGCAAAATGTCGTTGTTGCACTGTACAAAAAAAAAGCAATCTTTAAAAATAGAACGTTTTGAGGAAAGCGATGAGATTCCCACACATTTTTCGAATTTCAAGTGTGTAACAAATGCGTTACGAATACTATTCTGAAATATTTCGTCATGAATTAGTAGCAAAATACCAAAAACGGAAATGTATTAATCTATAAAAGTTTAAATATTTTGATTGCATCATATTTGGCCTTTGTTCTTTTGAGTGCTTGCGAGTTCAGCTAATATTATTGAAAAAATAAACTTATAACGATTAAGTAAAATTTGAAGCAAAATTTAAAAAAATAAAACAAAGTATGGATCATGCACATATTTATACTTCTTCTTAAATTATTGCTAATCAGTTCAATTAAAATTAGCTAAATAATTCCAAACAAATTAACTCTAGAAATCCGAAAAGACTAGAATTCCATCGTTTGACAATAAAGTGAATAAAAACTCATGTATTTATTTATTTATTCCGGCTGTTGTTTTTATACTTAGCTACCTGTGATGGTGGAGGTGAATCGATAACTTTACTCATTCGTAGATCACTGACAAATCTTTTACACTAAAAACCGTATAACGTCTACAATGTCGTGTACACTGACAAAAGACCATGATCAACACATAAGAATAATGTCTTGTATCTAAGAGCAGGCACATTACTGCTGTGTTTTTCCTCTACCATACGTAGAGCGGATACCGGCCGTCATGTCATTTCCGCATCGTAAGACAAAGTGTAGATAAATCTAGCTGTTGTTTCCGTTGTCAAACCTGTTCCTCGTACATATCTGAACAAAAGTATTTTCCTGATTATATACAGAACCACGTTTTATCTTTTCGTCGAAAAAAGGAAGAGATTATTTAAACCTGAAAACTGATGTCCTCCTCGAGATGAAATCATTGTGACAGTGAAAACCTACAATATTTCAAGTCTAAGTCGTTTTACAAAACATTATAATATATAAAAAAAATATTTTTTTAACAAATTACATTTTTATTTAGTTTTTCTTAGATACTACTTGGGTGACCAACTTAAATGTTTTTGTTATTAATAGTCAGCACTAATATTTAAGAAACAATAAGAATCTATTTTGTTTTAGACAAATGGCCAGGAAAAAGAAAAATTAATTTCATAAAATTAAATATTAATTAGCTCACAAAGTTAGATATGCGTAAAAAAATAAGAATTTCATTGGTTTAAAAACAGAAATTTTCCACAGTTTATCTTAACAGTTTGCAACAAAAAGTACCAATGTTAAAAAAAAGTTCACCAGAAAAACGGATTTGAAGACTTTGTCATGTGTCACTCCTTGAAAAACGCTTCAAATGCCAATTCTTCTTTTTCAGTTTCTTTTAGTTTATCTTGATTTTCATCTGCAATGCTAACTTATCCACAACATCAGGAGACTCAACTATTCGACGGTTTTTAATCGTTTTTTAAATGTTCAACACGCATATGGGAAGAAAATGTCTAAGTAACTTAGGGTAGTACTATCTTTTAAAATTTAAAGATTATTTATGGTGTCTGAAAATATAAAATACTGAGAAAATATTTCCAAGATATATAGTTTATTATGTTTAAAACGGAAAAAACAAATATATGACTAGTTTTTCTTCTCATCCCCATAACAGTTGTTATTGTTGTGCCAATAGCAAACAAATTTTAGCTAAGAAGGTAAAATTTAAATGCAATTTACCATAGAAATATATCTTTTGATATTGAGAAGTAACATTCTTAATTTACGATTTCTGACACGAAAATATGAATTAGCTGCCTCAACATGAATACACTTTCAAACAAATGTTGACATTACTTTCAATGTTGAAAACTAGAGAACAGTCGTTGTCTACAAGAGGTTTTTAAAAAACTACCCTTAGTACACTCCCCACCTTTTTAATGAGTAAGAAGAACGCACACATTTGTTCACAATTATCTCAAAAAGTGAAGGGAAGTCGGCCCAAATATATCATACACTTTTGAAAGCCTTTTATATACACCACCAAATGATTTTAATTAATTTATCCATGTCTCATACACACTGAACAAGTATCCAGTTTACCTTCAAAAGATAAAGTAAATGTCTGTGAAAGGTTGACATCTGCAATAATTTTAGATAAAAAAAATCTTGGGCACCAAATATTGTATTTGAGAAATAATGACCTAGATTCACTTCTAGTAAAATATACTATTCCATCGCAGATGGTAAACCAACATTTTTCTATAAAATTGAATACAGAATCCGATATGAGTAGAATTTTGATGTCATTCTCAAGCCTATCAAATAGAAATGTGTCAAAATCAAAAAATATATTTATTTCTGTGTACATATTCATTGATACCAAGGAATTTGCTGTGAACACAAAATATTTTGAGAGAAGCATTTGTATCTGTTATGTCTGAAATTATACCAAAACCATTAGATTGTAAATATCAGTATTTAGAAAATACAAATATAATAAAATACACCTGTAGTAATTCGGGGTTACATATTTTCCAGTAGAATTTTTTTTTTTCGTTTTTTGCGAAGTTTTCTGAAATTTACTGTTTAGGCACCTCCGTTATTTTGGGAAGTAATGAAAGAAATTAAAAAATAAGTACAACATACAAGAATAAAAAAGTAAACAATTTCTCAAAACCATGTCTAAGAAATGAAAGTAAATGCTGAAAGCCTAATAACTGACCAAATCCGGAGGTAAATAATTAAAATTAATATACTTGTACTTTATAAGGGAAATGATGTATTAAATAAATATTTACTCTGAAATTTTATTTTTCTTTATTTAATTTAATGCTCAGTATAAATAAAATTCACGTTTTTTGTAAGTTTAATATTTGCAATTAGATAAATTGTTAGTAACCTTCAATCTCTTCAAATACAGTGGGCGCCGCTTATTGTTAACACACCTAGATACACATAATACATTAACTGATTCATAACAAAAGAACAAATATTGCAATTGAAGATTATCGAATGGAAAGAAAGCATCTTCTTTAATTTACAACGGGAAAAACATTCATTCATAATACAATTTATTCTTGCCTATATTCTTGCCTTCATTGAGAGAACAAATTTAAAGTCATAATACAATGTTAGCCCTTAGTTTTTATAACTAAAAAAAGCTTTGAAGAAGGTCTGATTTTAGTTTTCTATGAGAATTTCATTAAAATAAGTCAAATATTAAAAATGTTTATGGAAATCAACCAACCTGTAATGTACACCAAACTCTAATATTTCTAAAGCCTGCTTCATTTCAGCCGTTGTAGGATGTTGAGACGTTCTGATGTTACAATTTTACATATGTCATCTTCCAGTAGCAGTGATGTTGCCATCCCAGCAGTTGCCATGCCAGCAATGAGGTTCTCATCCACAGCCATCCATCCCTGACATTCCTTTGGCATCATATTCGGCGAACATCAACTAGTATGTTTGGTCTTTTGCGAGTCGTGTCCCGTGAGGGCTCAAAACTATGCTTAATTGAAATGTTTCAAAATTATGATAGCGTAGACTATGATCATTTTAATCGTTTTCTTGATGTTGTAATGTCAGGTCGGTGTGAACATCATGATAATTATCACATTAGCCAAATAATAACAATAAACCTGATTACAACAAGCGGCGTTCACTGTATATGGTTTATGAAAACACATAGTGAGACTTTTAAGCAAACACAGTTCTATTGTACAAAAATACCTTAAAAATACTTGTCACACAAAATATAGAATTCATAATTTGTTTTAAATAAAATAAATTCGATTCGATTTTTAAATATTATAATAATGTATTATACACGGAATTATGTATATTACACATTCGATATACAGGAATAACCGCTTTATTACGTTGAATTTGCGACAATATAGAGATTCTTAATAAGCAAAAATGTTGAAATCTATTAATAGCAACAGTACTCTTTCAACTTAAAAACTCTCAGTTCAAAAAGTTCTCTCAAAAAGTTTTAATCACAATAATTATTTTAACAGGGGTTTGGAACGTTTGAATTGAATTCAAATACAACATTATAATCTTGCACGAGAGGTGTTCCAGGTTTCGCAGTAGTGGAGTTATTATTGCACATAAAACTGGGATCGGGTGTGGTGAGAACCGGGCCTACGGTCCGCCTGCACCTCGCGCCGGACTGGACGCTGCTGCAGTTGACCTGCGAAGCCCTCTTGGATAGGGCGAGTTGCGAGGCGCGGCCTTCGCCGCGCGGTCCACGTTTTCGCAAGGAGTACACGGCCGCACGGGTGTCCTCCGCTGGCCGAGTAGTCGCGTTTCCACCGGGCCGGAACCCGTCTGACGGGCTCCCAGGCCGCGAAACACCCGTCGGCCCTCTCTCTCGCACAGCCGCAGCGGAAAGCGCCCGGGGTCGGGAGGTGAGCCTGTCCGTGAGCACCTCACTGCCCCTCGGAGACCTCATTATCCCTCCGTGACACGCTTCGTACGCGAGACACATTGTCACGAGCACGACAGCGATATGCATGGTGGCGTTGGCTGCTCTCACTGCACCGAACTCTTACTGCTCTTCCACTGAGAGAACGCCGCGCTACGCGTGTTTATAAGTAACAGACGCCAGGAAAAAAGGAAACAAGTAAATGAATTCAAGGTGTCCGCAGCACACGCCACTTTGTAGGCGTCTCGCGAAGTTATGTGCGTGACTCAAGACGTAAAAATTTCGCAGTCCTCCGAGAAGTAACATCCGAAATCATCAATCATGCGGGGAAGCACTTTAGAAGACGTTCTACAAATGGCTGGCATTGTAGGATAATTTAATCGTCGATTCTAATGTTATATGTTTTCCGGTATCCGGTGAATTTCTTCCTATAAACTGTCACGGAGTGGAACAAAACATTCTTATTCAGCTTCTTGTAAGTTTTATGAAACGAGAGCCGGTATTTGCTAGTTCTAAGTGGTTAGCATCCAATGGCTCTCGCCTTTTGTTACCAGACATGCGTTAAGGAATAAACTTGAAATTAAACTGGACGATTGTCTGAAAATCAG